GGGTGATGAGGGGGGTTCCCATGCTCCCAACTGGCCATAGCCAGCGCTCCCCCACACCCTAATAGCTCCTTCTTGGCCGACGGGGACGGAGGTGACGCTCTGCGGGAGGGGGAAGTTGTTCCCAAGCCAGGTTTGGGGAGCCAGGTCACACCGGGTTGTGTGGGGTCAGGAGCAATAGCTGGGCGGGCAGCCGGGCTCCAGTTTAAAGGTCGTGTTAGGTCAGCAACAACACCTCCTCATTAAAACTCTCAGCACTGTTGGTTTGGTTTTTTGTTTTGTTTTGTTTTGTTTTTCCCGTTGATGATGTTGCTGGTGCTCACAGCCTGGAGGGAGATAATCTGTACCCTGTGCCTTTGCAGTGCCCCTGCCTCCCTGAGGGAAGGATTACGGTCCCCAGAGCAGGGAAAGGTGAACGCCCCACTCACATTCAGCATTTTCACACCCTCCACAGCACTGGAGACCTGAAACGAATTTAAGGTGAGCTGGTGACGTTTTGGAAAAAACCTGATGTGCAGCTGAGCTGTTTATCCCAGAGGAGCCAGAGCCAGGCAGGGAGAGAAACCTCTCTTGTAGGTCCTGCAAGGACAGGCACGGAGGTGCCAGTCCCAGTGCTTGAAGACCTAGTTATTCTGCCAGGAGCTGCTCATGGAGCAACTCTCTTGCCTCAAGTCACTGTGGGAGCAATGAGGAGCCAGCTAGCAACAGGCTTTCTGGCAGCAAATCCTAATCCCACCCCAGCTTCCCATAAACCAGGAGACCTTCTGTGCTCAGCCGCCTCCATGGCACGCGAGGGATTGAGACAGATTTTGGATCAGAGAGCACTCAGGGCTCCCTGGGTGCCCGTCCTGGGGTTCCTGTCCTGGCAGGACAAATGCCAGCCTCCCCTGCAGCTCCCCAGGGGCAGATCATAGGAGAGGAGACTCAGAATAAATCCCCAGGGAATATCTTCCTCTGGCAAATGGAAATGCTTCAGCAACACGGCTCTGCCGGTACCCTGAGAGCTCAGCAGCAGGTGGCTGGTCTCCCCTCCAGCAGATGGAGAGGTGGGCAAGGGGGACACACGCACACAGACGAGAGTGCTGTGCAGTCAACCAGTTAATCCCATTTTATTGTTTCCAGTACAAATGAAGTACTCTTTCCAGTAAGGGTCCCACCGTGTAAGGCTTTCAATCTGTAACATCTGGCTTTTGTTTACAAAACATCTGACCTCATAAACAACTGCTGTTCTGCAACAGCACATTGGTTATCTGGGTTTTAATGAATGACCTTTACGAATGAGGCAGAGTGCATCCCTCCACAGATCAAGGAAATCCTCTCTAAATCTTCAAATCCCATTAACAAAATGATTGTACAAACAACGTGACCAAGGCACGCTGTCCCACCCCGCTGCCCACAGGGACATCCGAGCAAAGTCCAGTTCATCCCAGGTGCTGCTCAAACATTTCCCTGTCTAGGAGCCACAAATACATGTGGCAATGCTGGTGCAGAGCAGGATGAGTTTGGCAGATCTTCCCAGCCTGGGGTTTCCTCCTAGTATTTATTGCATGTTCCTCTGTACTGCAGCCATCTTTTGAGAGACAGGATTAGAAAGGAATTTGTACAGAATCAATATGGAATTAAATGGAAAAGAGGCATCAGTTTAATATAAAAACAGAAAAGAAAAGAAAACAGAAGGAGACATGAACACTGTCAGAAGGCAGAAGCTACTCCTCACCCGGCAAGCTGAGATGCTTCTCAGGGCTTTACCTTCGTTTGGCACGAGTGACTGGCAGGGAGGGAGGCCAGCAAGTTATATTCACTTCCATCAGCACAAGCCAAAACCAAATCCTTTCAAGACAAACATCAGCCTTTAACAAACCATGAAGAACAGAGACAATGACCTAAAGCATTGGATCAACACCTGAGAGGCTTGGAGAATCTCAACATCAGTCTGCAAAACCTTCCAAAAAACATTCCTAACTCTGCTTAGGAAAATCAGGAGAAAAAAGGACAGCCATCCATCCCAGCTGGCGCCTAAGCCTTGCGCTTCTTCGCAGTCGGCTCTCCCTCCTTCCCCAGCCACTGCTGCAGGATACCCGCACTGGTTTTCTTGGGCGAAGGGCTGTGGATGAACTGACTTGTCCACTTGGGCAAATCGTTTTCTTTCTTCTGGGGAGAGCCCTCCTGGGAGTTTTTTAACCAGGCCATCATTGCTTTGCTGCTTGGGGTGGCTTTGACCTCCTGGAGAGACAAAAGAGAGCGTGAGAGAAGCCAGCAGCACGGCAAGAGCAGGGCAGGCAGCCGATGGTGAGAGCTGGTCCAGAGCAGGAGGTGGAGGCTGGAGCAACGGCTCTGCTGGCAATCAGGCACATCTGCGGGAGGTTCCCCAGGCTGCTAGGAACAGGCTTGTTCCAAGCCTCATTTCACACGGAATTTGCCTCATTTGGCAGAGGAATCCTGGCATGGGGTGACAGTTTTATTTCTGGAAGTGGAGGGAAGGGAATCTGTTTGGGGCTCTGCACTCCAGCATCAAGCACCAAAGTGCCCTGAACATGATGCCCCCCTGCAGCCCGGCAGCCCCATCCCTGCTCAGGGACGTCACCGGGGACAAGCTCTCCCCTGTCAAGCCCCCACCAGCACTCACCTTCTTGGCTCCCAGCTCGATAGGTGCAACACACTCGGGAGTGTTGTTGCGGACGCTGTTGACAAAGGTGGACACTGGGTGGAAAACAATGTTTTCTGTGGGCTGGATGAGTTTAATTGCTTCTTGGGTTGGCACTTCAGCGAAGTCCAGCCATTTTGTGATGGCCTCATCTCCGTCCAGGATGGCTGGCATCCTAGGGGACAGGACAGTCAGAGCCAAAGCCCAGAGCCGATAGGGCAGAGCAGGGTAGCAAAAGCCAGGCTCGTAAGCCAGCAAGGAGCCGGCAGCTTGGGAGGAAATAGGAGGAAAACCGAAGCAGCAGAATGCTCTTCTGCAAGGCAGAGCATGCGCTTGCTTCGCCCAGGTAGCTGCTTTGCTGGAAGAGGCGGAAGATTTGACTGCCAGGCCCTGGCCAGGCAGAGGCCGATCCAACTGCACAGAGCCATCCAACTCCGACTGCCACCCACCGCGGCACAAACATGGTGATTTATAGAAAGGGCGTGAGCCAGTGACCTGGAACAAGCCAGTGATGTGGTAGCGTTTTTCTCACAGAGCATCAGTAGGAGGCAAGACTCCCTGCCTGCACTGACCGGCTGGTGTTTAAAGGTGCAGCTTTCCTTCCTTGCCCACTCCCACTTGCCTGTGATGGATGAAGCTCACGTCCTTGGAGGCATCCACAGTGATGATGGTGTAAGTGTACAGCGTTTCTCCTCCTGACGGCGGCTCCCAGCAGTCAAAAATCCCAGCCATGGTGAGCAACCTCCATCCTCTCCATTCCTCATCTCCCTCTTTCTCTTCAGCCTGCAGGACAGAGCCTCCATCACCCCAGTCAGTGCCGATCTGTGGGCAGACGAAGCATTGATGACTTACCAGTGCTGTGGCAGGTCAACAGCTCAGATCTAAGTCATGAACTGAATTATAGGGCTTTCCACAAACCCTTCTACAGATTTGAAGTAACTACAGGAGGGGAATCAGGAGTCTCATCTTTCCAGTGGCAACCCAGCACCCTCTTCCCATTCTGACCATGCCAGTCGCAGGCTCAACCACAAGCAAGAGGTAGTGAAACTCCCAGCCCAGTCCCCTGAGACACACGTCGCCCGCTCATGCAAACATCCGGCATGCAGGGAGCAGCGAGGCGTGACGGCGGGGATGCTGCGGCACAGCTTACAGCCAGGGGACTACAGCGGCAGGGATCGTTGGCCACAGAGGGATGCCAGAGCACTGAGCCCACCTCAGAACAGAGCCTCGTTGGGAAACAGAGACCCCCAGAGTCAGGCACAGCTGGAGGGAAGGGGGCTTTCCCCAGTGCAGCTGGAGGGAGCATGGGCTCAGAGCCAAGCGTGAGTGTTCAGCCACAGTGAGGGACTCCCTACCGTGGCATCCTTCGTCTGGGGGAAGTAAATGAAATATGGCTGCTTCCCCCCCCTCTGCTGCTGCTGCCACTCATAGAAGCCATCCGCCAGGACCACGCAGCGCTTGCCCTTGAGGAGGGCACCCTGGGGGAGAGAAAGCACAAGTGAGCAGTGAAGAGCAGCCTCAGGCAGCCTGCAAGGGAGGACAGGGGTCCTGGGGACCGCTCGCTTTGTCTCAAGACTCCCCTGAACTGCCCCATGGGGTGAACTAACATGCCTGTGAGTGCAGTGATGGCAGATGAGCTTCACCAGCAACAACCTTTCCAGTGCTTCCATTTTAATGAAACCGACCAGCCCTGCAGTACAGGGACTTATTTCCCTTGGCGGCAGGTAAACGGTGACCAGTACTCGATAGGGAAATGCTTCAGCTCTAGCTTTGCTGACTACAAGATCTCTTCAAGCTGGACACAAAGACAACAGCAACTCACCTTGTAGGAGGACTTCTTCAGCATGGTATCACTGCGGCAGTTGGAGGTATTAAACTGCATTTTGGAGGGGTCGTCATTTTTGAACCAGGAGGGAATGAGGCCCCAGCGCATGTCCATGAGGACCCGCTCGGAGGAGTCGGCATCCTTTCGAATGAGACAGAGAAACACCTCAGGTGAGAGCCATGTTCTAGGGACCAGAAGCAGCCCCACTGTTTGAGAGAGGGGCTTTGTAGAGCCCTGTAAGGGGTGAAGAGGCTGGTTTCTCTCCTGAGAGCTGAGCTGGGACTCACAGCCACTCCAGCACCAAACCTGCCTCTGCTCTTCTGCAGGGATGCCACCCGCAAGCCGTGCAGAAACAGCTACTAATTATAAGCCTTTGCATATTCTTAACGGCTTTTCTCTAAGAATTAATCTCCATCAGAAAGCTCAAGAATATTTTGCAGGAATAAACAATTAAGTGTCTCAGCAAGGCTCACCCCACAACTCTCTAAAGGAATTCATTCCATTCTCCTTCACTGGAAGTGGCGGGACACACGAGCTCCCCGGCTCTAGAGTAGACGGTCATGTCAGGCTGGTGTTAAGGTCCTCAGAACTGCTCTCGTTGGTGTGAGCACTCCTCAGGGTGTAAGCCTCACCTTCATTTTAATAATGTGAGTTCTGCCGACCTAGTTCACTTTCACTCCTTGCGCTTTGCTTATCATCTGCCTTTGGACAATGGAAGCGGTTTGTGGCTTTCACTTCTCCCCCAGCCCGCTCTCGCTTTCTGCCCGCAGCCGCCAGCCCCAGGCAGCTCCCTATAAATATATATATATGTACTATATATATATATATATACACACACCTGCTATAGGTGTTTATCATATAGAGCTGTGTATGTGCCTAGCTTGGTGAAGTCTTCCAGAGCCTCCCACAGCCAAGAAGTGGCAAAAAGGGACACCTTATACCACACCTGTCCCAACAGCTGGACAGGGATGCACAAACGAGGAGGTGTCACCTGTGACACACTCTCGGCCCCGAACTCCTCAGATCCACGAGCTTATCAGCTGCTCCTGGGGGAATGTAGGACCCCCGAGAAGGCAGGAAAGGAGGGTACAAAGGATGCCTGATGGCATCCATCACCCACAGCACTCCAAAACAGCCCCACTGAGGCGTCCCACCGCATCCCCTGAGCTCATAACAGCTGTGAAGTGCAGCAGCCCCGCTTGCTGTCCCACCAGCTGGAGGACAAGCAGAGGGAGCCCAAGTTGGGGTGTTTCCATTCAGTGCACCCAGCCTCACCCCACTGAGCACGAAAAAGCAGCAGTTCGTTGGGCACCCTCTTATGCAGAAACCAAATTAGATGCACAAATGGTTGTACGGGCTGCTTGGGTTGTCTGGAGAAGGTCTGCTGGGCCTTAAATTAGCCAGGATAACGGTCACCACAGGTGTACAGTTACTTCACAGCTTTGAGGTTGACATTTTTTTTTTTTACCTCTACCCTCAGCAGTAGTACAAAATGAAAAAAAAGTGCCTCAGAAAAGCAGAATAAAACCAGCAGAGCAACTATAGACATTTTGGGAAAAAATATCTACCCCAGTTAGTCAGTTACCCGCGATTTTTTTTGCAGAAAGTACACTATTACGCTAGAAGCTGGTGCCAACTGCCCGCTCTCCTTAGGGACATGTAAATACCAACACAAAGAGACCCCTTCGCAGTTAGAAAATTCAACGTGCCCTGAGCAAAGGGAAGCCCAGCAAGCCCGGGTACCACCCGCCTCACACGGAACCCGCGGCATCCATCCACGGAGGGCTTGAGTGGTTTCTTTTTCTTTTTTTCTTTTTTCCCAGTAGCAACCGAGCGCCCCGCGCCCATGGCCGCTGCCGGACCCGGGAAGTGAGCCCGGCGGCGGGTGGGAAGGGGAAGGGGAAAGGGAAGGGAAGGGGGTACCTGCTGGAGGTGCCGACGGGAGAGCAGCACCGGCCCGCTGGAGCTCGGGCCCTTGTTGTAGCAGGGCCGGTACC